AGCATGTCACCATTCGGGACTTGTTGCTTCCACTTAGCAAGCTCATCACACGGAAAAACTGAGTTGGTGTGGTTTAGGTGAATGCAAGACTCATATTGAAGGAAAAAGAATTGGTGTCTCTTTTTTTACTTTGAGTCATATAAAGAGTTTCAGTGCTGCCCCCCCAGAAGTTATAACTTCCATAGTCTCCTGGATGTGGGGCAGGTCTCTGTCTCTTAGAGTCACCTCAGTGAAGACAGACGGCAAGGATCTTTTTGTGTGTTGCAGCTGTCTACTGAGGTGTCATGGGTTTTCTCCGGGTACTGCGGTTTCCCCCATTCTTAAAAAAAACATGCAACTGATTTTAAATTTGGACTTAATTGATCTCTCTCAATTGTACTTAAACTTGTAAACTTAAATGCTACAGAAGCACATTGTGTTCACCAAAGAAATAAATAATTGTGGAACCTTGTCACATAATTAGTTATGGGCCATTTACTGTATGCAATAGCTTTACTGGTCTGCTTGAATTGGGTTATATATGGCCAGTGGGAAAAACAAAAAGAGTTTGACACTGTAGTGGATTTATGCTACAATTTATGGATCTTAAATGTTATACCTCGTTAGAATTCTAATTATCATGAGTGGTTAATTACCAATAAATATTAATTGAAGTATCAGTCTTTAAACCAGTTTAATCAAATATCTAAGTTATTCAATTTTTGTTTAATTTTTTAAACATCTGAAGTGGAGATTAAGTTCAGCAAGTGTCAGTATTTCACACTGGTCAGGAACAGCTTCAGCTGAACCAACTCAGACTCGGGATGATTTCATTTTCAGAGGCATTAAGCCAGAAAATGCATTTGTACATCAAATTTCGCTAAACAGCTGGAAAGTGTGAACTCCTGCAGCCACAACTTCTTCACTTGCACTGGACAATCTCAGCCTCTTCAACAATATTCTCATTGCATCAAAACTTTGACTTTCTGTATCTAGACACACAGGACACACTAGTGTGCAGTGTAAAGAGGTTGATTTGCAGTTTAATTAAATGCCATAAGATATATTGAATAGACTAAAGCTGGCAACTGAAAGTGTGAAATTGTGCTGCTGATAAGCTTCAGTCTCCATAAACAATGGCCACTTTATTAGGCACACCTTTACAGTCTCTACTAATGCAATCCAATACAACAAATCTACCACAAATTCCACCTTTATATGAAGCCTGTAATGTTAATTTTTATGTAAATGTTAAAATGCAATATGTTTATTGTTGAGGTCATAGTTTAGGGTGGTGTGGTATTTTTTTGTCCCTTCCATTTACATAAATGAGTGGCTCAGAATATTAGGAACACACCTCAGTAGAAATACTACACAGCACCACTCAGATTTAAAGCAAAAAATTCACCATGGCAGTAGAAAAACTGCTGCATTCAGTCTCCCTTGTAAAAGCTTAAACCAGTCTTGTGAAGGCCTCAGCCACGCCCTTCACCATGTGAGGGCCTAAACCACCAGCAGCAGTAGAATTAGCTAGGTAATCTTTTTTCTTTTTTCATGTGTGTAGATTTAAGCTGTAAGTAGAGGTTAGGTATTTGATTTGACATTGGACATACAAAATTAATCAATGAAGCATGCACATTTATTTTTGCATGCTTAATTTTGTATTAATGTCTGTAAATTTTCTTTTTGAGTTACCGTGTTACTGGTCCATGGATGGTGACGGTCCTGACAAGAAGACTGGACTGAGGCAGCAGCAGGTTTAAATGCCACCCACAGGCCTGGACTGCACCAAGTGCCCAGTACAGGAGAGGGGGGACATTTGGGAGAAATGTATTGTTTATTTGTTTGTAGTTTGTTAAAACTTTGTCAGGTTATGTTAATTTTTTACATAAAAAAAAGAAGACCACTGGCCCTGCCTGAGCAATCCCCACCTCTGTAGCGTTGTGTGAAATGTTTACTACTGTCAGTGTATTTAGTCATACATGTTAGTGTGTGACTAAATATCTTAATTTGAAAATCTGAATTAAATCTTTCATAAAGGTAAAAAGGTGCCTTCCTACCGAGACACAGTGTGTGTTTGCAGCTTTGCCCTCATGTTGCCTGATGAATTTTCCACATACCTACCAAAAAATATGCCTGACTATAGTATGTTCGAAATAATGTTGTTAGACCGTCTCCTGAAAAATATGCCTTACTATAGTATGTCGAAATAATGTTGTCAGACCGTCTCCTGAAAAATATGCCTTACTATAGTATGTGGTAAAATTGGGGTCCGATCACTTGGGGTCCACGCTGATACTGTGCCCTGACAAAGAATTGAACCCCAACTGAACCCCATTACTGAAAAACAAGCTTTAGTGCTCTACGTTTTTCATGTTTACTAAATTATTTATTGAATTATCAGTAAGGAAACTGAAGTCTGGGTGGTCTTGTTACTGCTTATTGTGATTTCCTGCTCTGCTACCTGTGAAGTTTTGCCACTCAAGCGATCTCCTTCCTTAGTTTACCCAGGATGCTGATGTCTAAATGGAAACTTCTCTATCAACTCCAGCCTTATTTTCTCACAGGCATATCTAACAATAGCAAGTCCAGGTTGAGGGCATGAATGACAAAACTGAGCCAAACGTTTGTCACAGCCATGGGAAGTGACTTGTTATTGTAAGATTGGAGTATAAATGGATGTAAAGTGCTTTGTGACATAGTTGAGGGCAGTGAACTGGCTGTTGGACTTGTGTACAAGTGGCAGCTGTGGTGATCAGTAGTGACAAAACTGGAACTAGGTTCAATTCAGATGGAAATCCAGCTAGCAGTTGACAGTTTAAATGTAAAATTAGTAAATTTGCCTTGTATGGAGATAACTTCAGTCCTTAACATTGTACATTATTTTAAGGTAGACGTAGGAGTTGGACACACTTCAGAGAGCTGGGCAATGTGACCATATATTCACTGACCAAGTGAGATTTTTGTCACATCTTAGATCATACTGACATTACTTGTTTTGTTTATATTGGCATCCAGAGGTAGATCTTATTTACTGATATTACTAGCAAATTGGTGCATCTTCTGTGGCAAACGGATGTGACCAAACAAGACAACACCCTGCTGTCTTTTGGGTTTATCAAAAAGCATTTATTAATAGTCATAGTAATGTCACACAAATTCACAAGTGTTTTAAGACATGTCTGGCTCAGTTTGGTGTGTGTGTGTGTCTGCAAGTGTCTGTGTGAGTTCTCTAAACAGTGCAGTTATAAATAAATGACCACAAAGAGAAGGAAAAGGGTAAGGTAATATTGCAACAGGAAAAATAGAATTCTCATTTTAAGACAAAGAGGGAAAAAAAGTTTGTTCAAAGAGAACATTTAGCACCATCTATCCCGTTATCATATTCAACAGGTAATATCTTAAAATCATTAAAATCTCATCTAAAAGCCCCCTACGTAATAAAAACATTTCTCAAAACCCTTTGGAGAAATTTTTTTTCCTTACAAACACGGCATTCCATTAGTCATTTATTCTACGTGAGCAATGTGTGCCTATTGTCTACAGGAAAGGTGGCGTTATATTCAAGATAACGTTATCATTTAATATATATCAAGAGAAAAAAAAACAGGCATTGTGAAAGCCAAGCACCAGAAAAAACAGCAGCTTCTGCTGCTGAGGACACACAAGCCCCACGTTTCAATTCTTACAGAGCGATCGGTCACCATAAAAAATAAAGAAATTCGCAGACTTGTACAACCCTATCAAAAAAGGAGAACATTGATATCCAATAAATACAGGAAACATTTTAAATTAATGTACAAAGCCCAAAAAATCCAGGAAATGCTAATTCCGCATAGCTGAACCAAACAATCAGAGGTACAACACACAAACAACAGGTGGCAATCTTTTTTTTTTCAAAGCGAGTTCATAGAGAAAAGGAAGAAATTAACAAAAACAATATGAAATGTGTGTGACAACTGAATATCATTTTTCTGAAAAAAAATCATAAAAACAAGATTTACAGCACATACAAAAATCTGAAAAACAAAAATGTAATCCCCGAAAACAACCAGTCGTCAAAACCCGTATATTTCGAAGCATTCCAAACAATTGTATTTTTTAAAATTATTAATGCTTTAGAAAAATTTTATCTTATCTCTTAGTAATTTTCATTTTCTCTTTTCTAAATACAAGGCCAATGTGGTATATATCTAGGCTGATCTAGTTTAAGGAAAGAAAAAAAAAGTTATTTAAAAAAAAGACGGCACCCCACAAAAAATTCAGACAGCATGTACAAATTTCAGTACTCAAGACAACAACAGAAAAGTTCATTCTGGTACTGACAAACACGCCACTGAAACCATCAACTACTAGAGTTTGTCCACTGACAGCACCAACGGCCCCTGGTTCTTACCTACATTATTGTTGCCAAGGTTTCTGGTTGAAAGCACCATCTGAGAGTAAACTGGTATTGGTGGCTTGGTATTTCTTTTGTAAACAGTAATGATGAGTAAACTTATTCAACTGGCTTTTCGGCAAGTATTAGCAGTAGTAGTAGCAAAAAATTATCTTAAATGATAAAAGGGATAGTTAAAAACCAAAGTGAAACTATTTTGTCCTGGCTTGCAGGAGTTTTGGTTATGGCTGAGGAGACGACTGTGGGGATCTCTGTCACCGGGAGGAGGAGGCCTGGTAAGACAAGAAACACAAAAGACCATTAAACTGTGTGAGTGACATCGAAAAAGTGAAAAGTTTCATCGACTGTTTTCATTTCAGGTCAGAAATGAACCTCCAGCTTCTTGAATGGCATAACTGGAAGCACACTCCTGTTTGTCTGACCAAGCAGCAAAACTAGAGGCATGTGCACACTCACCAGGCTGAAGGAGTCGTATGTGTTCATTAGCTCCTCAATGCGGTACTGCTCCAGCACCACTACGTTGTTCAAGTTGGGGCTGCGCTGCCGTGCACAGTCCTCACAGTGAACTACATACATTTTCCTGCTGCTGTTTTCACATGTCACAAACAACAAATTGAACACCTCCACCTATGACAGACAAAAGAAAAGATTCATTCAGGGTGTAGTTGTAACATCATGAAAAGGATCCTCTGTGCTTCCAGTATAAGGGTCATTACTGTAGAAGACAATAGCTGCACTTTGTTAGCTAGTTTAGCTGCTATACTAAATATGCTTTTGTCACTTGCAAACAAAATAAGAAAGCAGTTGCCCATTTTTTGGTAAATCTAGCTAATATTTATAGTGCAACTGCTCTGCTGTAAACATTCTGTCTATCCTGTTTAAATTGAGGGCAGGTTGTTGTATTACAGTTGAATCCCTAGCCTAATAAAAACTAATTTATAATCATGAAGATGGGAGTTGTATCAGAATGCATTAGTTTTGTGTAGGTATAGCTAATAAACTGGAAACAGTGTGTCTGATGGAGAGAGAATTTTGTATGTGTGACTTATTGAGAGCTACGTACGTCACACTCATTGCAGTAGTAGGCAGGCTCGTCCTTGACCCGACTCTGATAGGAAATTTTCTTGCCTTCAGCCACAAGTTGGTCCCGCAAGATCTGGATGTGCTTCATGGACTGCAGCAGGCAGTGTCTGGCAGGAAGGTAAAGAGACCATAATGGAAAGTTGCCATTAAACAACACTAAATTTGGAATTGGTTTTCAGTTAGTGTATTTGTTATTACAACTTTGACAAAAGTGTACACCTAGCAATCTAATGCTACGTCCCTGCAATACATTTGACCTTTGTGAAGGTTATAACTATACTATGTAAATATCTTGTGTATTATTCTGGAACTGTAGGTTGTGGTGCTGTTGAATAGTTAATATTTTGTCTGCCTCATTAATGACGATAGATAAAAAAAAAAAAAGTATGCAATTCAACAACAGTAGACAACCCCAACGCCTCCCATATGAAGTCCTGTCTGACTTACTGTCAAAGGCCATTTAAGTAGAATGAACACATTTTGAACTATTTCAACAGGAACTGTTTAACCTTCATGAAGGCCAGAATAACTCCGGGACTATTTTAGTCTTAGCCTAGGTTCCTAATGAAGTGCAAACAGAGTGCTCACTTTATCATCTTGTAAGTGTCTGGGTCAGTGATCTTGACAGTGCGAGCCACGTTCCAGGATACATGAATCATAGGGACGATGGACTTGACCTTCTTTACTTCGTTCCACTCAAACCTTTCCAGGGCCAACTGGTACTGGTAACCTGCATTCACATAAAACAACACTGGACAATGAAACAGTCTTCTAAAATCTGCTTTGTGTATTTGGTCACTAGATGACCCTCCTTACCATTGAGAGGTCCAACATTCCAGGCAATGTTGTTGCACCAGCCCACAGCCTGAACCCAGTGAACAGTTCCAGCATTGATCCACACCAAGTCACCAGGCCGCTGGATGAAACGATACACAGGGATGCTGGCGCTGTAGAGGTCCTCCAACACCGGCCACCAGGACCCTGTCAGATAGTCCACTCCATGCCTGGGCACAGAAGGTATACAGAGCTGTTAGGTATCCGATGGTATAAAGGCAATTCTACTTTAACAACCTGTAAATTATCCAACATGCAAACTAACTGCTACCTCCTACTCACTTTTCACAGAAGTCACTGATGGCCTGCCAGTAGTTATCGTGCACACAAAACCACTCACAGTCTCCAGGACCAATGTTGATGTTCACAGAGCAGAAGTTGTTGTTCTCCTGGTGACCTTTTAAACAAGGACAGAATAACCTCAGGCATATTTATTGCTATTTCATTTTTACTGAGAATTTAACAGATCTTATTTAACTTGTTGTATTTATTGCTGATGAACCAATGGTGTATTCCATCTGTTACAGACAGAGGAGTGTCAGTGTCCCATACCTGGTGTCCGACTCCCTGGAACTTTCATGTAGAGCTGGACCGTGTTCATGCCCAGGATTGTATGTCCCACATGGCTCAGCATGTTTCCACTGGATGCCACACGCATAAATGCTGGCAACTTCTGCAGCTCTTGCAGCTGGGGCTTCCACCTGAGCACAGAAACAGCAGGTTAGAAATGAAGCAACTTTCTTCTTAACTATTCTGTCTGAAATCCTGTGCAGACCAGCTGGTCCCCCTTTTCACACAGATCTTCAACAAACCACTGAAACTGTGTGAAGTCCCCTCATGCTTTAAACACTTTACCATCATCCTGGTTCCCACTAAACTAGACTGGACTGAATGACTACAAACCTGTTGTCCTGACATCTGTGGTCACGAAGTCTTTTGAAATATGGCAAGCAATTTGAGCATTTATCTACTTGGACAGAAACTTACTGGTCGCTGTTTTTCACTCTTGTCCAACTAATACCAACAGAACCTGTCTAGTAACACTGGCTACCACACTAGTAGCACCAAAGTCCAAACTAGTGAGAGGCTAAACGCTCACAAGTTAAGCTGTGAGGCCCAAAATATCCACTAATTAAACTAATTAAAGACATTCTCACTCATTTGCTGGACTCTGTAAGGAACATGTTAAGACTTTGACCAAACATGATGGACATTTTTCTTACATGTTGGGCCTTTCCTTTAACTAGCTGAGTGTTAGTCAGCACTAGTGAGCAACTGTGCACAACTAGTGAGACATTTGTTTAACATGTTGGCCTTTTTGTCACACTAGTCTGAGTGTGCAACTAGTGCGCCAAAAAAAACGAATGCATCTAAACACACTTTGCCAATAAACCTGATTTTGATGTTCACAGTACTGAACTCAGCACTATTGTTTTTGAGTGATTATATTAAAGTTGCTCACCTCTTGGGATCTGAGAGGTCAATGTTGGTGCCAAACTTAATGATCTTCCCTCCTGGTTTCTGCTCGCCACTGAGGATTGGATATTATTTTAAAAAATTACTTCAAATGACAGAACAATGGATTGTTTTAGTAAAACATTTAGTTAGCCTTTTAAAACTCTCTTTACCTGATACTTTCTTTAGAGCTGTCCTTGTTGGGAGTATCAGAAGTGATGGATGGCTTCTTCTCCTTCTCATCATCTTCATCCTCCTCCTCATCGCTGTCTTTGTTCTCCTGAAGACAGATCGTGATCATGTTCTGTTAATTAGCTGGACTGCAGCAGATAATGCAGAGACATGGAAGTCCTGACACCTTTATCTGGTTTTATGTATATAAAACCAGTACACTGCAATATACAGGGTACATGAAATGGGTGGAGAAATAGTGGTTTCTTAAGTGGCTAAAGTAGGAGAACTATCAAGCTGTAATAGTAAAAGCACCACAGTTAGCGACAGTATGTAGTGCTCTGTACCTGCAGACTCTCTTGGAAGCTGGAGGCTTGGTACTGGGCATATTTGGCGATGGTGGTGTGGGAGCGGCTGCTCTCACAAGGCCACGTCTGACCCGTCCCACTAGGGTCCCAGTTCTCATCAGAGGGCTGCTGCACCTGAGTCCTCACCTCCACCGCCTGCTCTGCATTGGCTTCTACCAGTGACTTTGTAGAAAACAGCCCTAGGTCTAAAAACAATGTGAAACATGTTACCCAATTACACCAGTCTGCGCAGAGATGAGAAGTGAGCAAATACATTATATATCTGTCTGTAACCACTCAGCCAAAATAGTGGGTAGGACTCATTTTAATAGCCTCACATGTAGCTAGATTCACTTCTACTTTAATACACAGTTATCTCAAGAGCTTACTGCAAGTTTTTCATGCAAATAAATGTGCTACCCAGATACTTTAAGTGTAAACTTACTGAGTCGTAGAGATCCAGCCAGGCCTCTGATGACGGTAACAGGATTTTTGGAGTCTGTACAGAACTGCAGCAGCACAGGGGAGAAGGCATCCCTTTTACTCTCCAGCTATCGAGAAGAAAACTCATGTTAAATGTGCGGCAACACAAACACTTTTCTTCATGCACAATCACCACAAGAGGGCAGCATGCGAATGTTTAGGGATGCTGCTTTTACCCATCAGCAGCATCCACTAAATCTTAAGCCACTTTAATGTACTGTGGCTTTAAATAATGTATTATTTGGACACAAGTATCTTCCAACGTTTATAGATTCAGTCATACTTTTAGCTTACTTCTGTTTACTACGATGTATAATATAAAATGTTCATTTCCCATATGCATCACATTAAAGGCCTAATGCCCAGTTCAGACTACATGATTTAAAGCCTGACAACAGCTCGACCTGACAGTCATATGGCGTTGGACACATCAATCAATAGTTTTTATCTCGTATAGCATGTCATAATAAACAACCAATGCCTCACAACGTCCCAATACAAAGTCTAGCATGTCAGAATTTTTTTTGTCGTCTGTCGTGTTGGGCTGACACTAACCAACAGGAGCAGAGGTCACTCTTCTGTTCACAGCACTTTTGCCATATCGGACTGACCCATATTCATTAAATATCACAGTGATACAGCTGACATTAGAATATTGACTTTCACAGTCACCCTTGTGAAGCAGCTACCCTATCAGGACTAGCTAGTTAGTTTTTGGTTGTTTCTCTCAACCCTTTTTTATGCTTTTTCGAATGCAAGCAGCCAGTATCACACACACTAATCTGGGTCTCTGGCACCTCCAAGTTGTGAATGACAGCAAGCTGTGACCTGCCGGGTACCAACGTGTAGTCGATCATATCCCTTGTCCAAGAATGTATGACTCTATAATTCTGTAATCTGACAGAGTGACCACTGTATCAGACAAAAAATCATGTACTCTGAACCAGGTGTAAGACTAAACTACTGTAATTTCCAGACTATTGAGCGCACCTGAATATAAGCTGCACCCACTAAATTTAAAACAAAAAAAACAGTTTGTACATAGCCGCAGGTGTCCACGTTGTAACATGAGATATTTCGACAGCCAGATTGATTGCCTTTAAACTTGAAAGCTGCATCATATGCATTTCGTCGTGTGTTTTCCATGATGAGGGTGTGTGCATGAAGCGAAAAAAGTAGTGGCTTATAGTCCGGAAATTACGGTAATGTGTACGAGTTGTGGTGCACTTGGTGACGTACATATATACTGGGTGTAGGAGGGTTGAGTTGCTCTCTAGGAATGGGTTCTTCGGTGCTCATGATGGGCTTTACAGAGAAGGCTGGGAGCAAGTAAGACTCTTTGAATTTCCCTTTGATTCTGGCCCCCCTATAACAGGACAAAGAGAACATGTTGACAAATGCAAACAGGACAATGCTCTCGAGTTACCTGGTGGGTCATTTTACTTTATTTGACAAAAATAAATAACTCAAACCTCATTCCAATTTGCCAGTTTATACAATTCCTAAATCCCTAAGATATCCAAATAAAGAAACCTAGTGAACTTTAACAATAAACACATTTTAGAAAAGCCTTCCTCTACAGCTGACTTACTTGCATGACTTGATGATTTCACTGGCAGTGTTCTTAATGCTGATTTCTTCCAGTGGGATTCTCTTCTCCTCCACCTCAGAGGCAATGAAGGTCTCCCTGTCCCCGCTCTCCACTTTAATCAGGCGAATCTTCAGCTCCTTGGGTGGTCCGTCTGACAGCGCCTTCAGTTTCAAAAAGTCTGTGGAACCTAATGAAGAACCAGATTCAGAGCCTTTTTTATGATCAGTGGATTTTTCTCCAGAAGTCATTGAGGTCCATTCTGCAGGATTCCCTTCATTGGTGGAGCTAGCACCTGACGATTCTTTGCGCTTCTTTTTATCTGTGTCATAATGACTCAAATTTTTCTGAGACCCCTCTTTGCCCTGGAGGTTAAGATCACCAAGAATTCTGCGATTCTTCTTCTCCTTGTGGATCTTACTGTCCTTGTGCCGCTTGTGGCTAGAGCTGGTATGGGTGGAAGATGATAAAGAAGAGGAAAAGGCCATCTCCTCTCTCTTTTCTCTGTGCCTCTTCTTTTCTTTCCTGTCGTCATGCTTCCTGCTGCTACTGTGGCTGTGGCCGTGCTTTCTCTTCTTCTCTTTATCCCTGTTTCGGTCTTTATCTCTGTGTTCCCTCACTTTCTCAGATTTGTGTCCGTCCTCCAGTTTGCCATGACCACTGGGTTTATCAAGGGAGTTCTTGTTAGAAAGTGACTGTCGACTGAGCATGACCTCACAGCTCTTGCCCAACTCTGCCAGAGATGACTCTGAGATGGTCGTCAACTGTTGCTCCTCCTTGACCACCTTAATAGGCTTTATGGTAGGAATGCTCTCCTTTTTGATGGAGTCCATCATTTCTTCATCATCCCTCCAGTCATCTGCATCCTCTATCTTCAGTGTCTTGTCTTCGAGCAGAAGAGGAGGAGAGGACTTTAGAGGTGGGACAGCTGGACTGAATGGTGGATTGACCGAATCTGATGTTGGAGAATCACTTTGTTGCTGGCGGCAGATATCAGGGCCCAGCGACAGTGAAGAAGAATATTTGACCCCAACCAGTGCTGATGGAGGGGGTCTCCCAAAAGGCCCACCTCGGTACGCATACTTTTGGCTCTCTAGGACGGTCGCCAAGGACTTGAACATGCTGTTTACACCTGTTTGGTGGAGGTGAGGTCTTTGGGGCGGTGGAGAACAAGATGGGGTCTCAGAATCCTCTTCATCATCGTCCTCATCAGCCTCACTTTTACTCTGTTCAGGGAGGCCATAAAGTTTGGCCAGGTCACTGTGGCGGTAATTGGTGTTTGCTACTCCCATTGTCATGTCCATGGACCGTTTAGGAACATTTGGAGAAGGTTTAAGGTAATCCTCATCCTCCTCGTTCAGAGAAGATGTACGGCTGCATGGGGATGCCAGAGAGCCTTGGCGACTGAGCACAGGAGGGCTTGCATGGAGATTAGAACCTAAATCTTCCTGGTTGGGCTGATGCTTTGTTGCTGGAATGAGATCTGGGGCGCACAGGTAGCTCTTGATAGGCTGGACAGGAGAAAAGTTGTCAAGGAGACCTGTGGACCCACACTTCTCACTGTTATACATCTCCTCTTCTTTTTTGATAGACTCATCCAGCATGGCCATAATGTTAGCCAGACCATCAGGGAGCAATGTGGACAGCTCAGAGGGCTCCTCCTCAAACTGTGCACTGTCAGAGTCAGTGCCACAGCTGCTGGCTTTTTCCAAACCACTTCCTATTGGTTGCTTATTGAAAATTCCCCCTGTGGTGCTTGATGCAGAAGATAAAGGTGGTGGTGGTGGGTCTTCCCTGGGAAAAGCCTGATATAGCTGAGTCTTTGGATTGGTTGGGTGCAGCTTGCATTGTCGGAGGCTTGCTGGGGTATACTGGCTGGTTCATCCCTGAGGTGTGTTGACTGTGTGTTGATGAGGGACTGAATGTCGTTCCGCCATTGTTGCTCCACATATCCCTCTGCCTCTGCTTTTCTCTGGCATAGTCAGTCTGAGGCGTGAGAGGAGGTGGCCGCAGCCTTTCTGGAGGCGTAGTGCTAGTGGGTGTCTGACCTGCTGGACAGGGGAGTATGCCACCGCGGCTTAGCCAGGGGTAAGGGGGTGAAGCCTGGGAACTGGGGGGTGGTGGACCTGAAGAAGGTGCAGTAGCAGAAGTGAGGCGAGCAGGTGGGGCCGTTGGAGAGGTGTCAACAGAGAGCAGTCGCTCCAGATTTTCAATAGCAGTCTGCTCTTTGCCTTTTGCACTGCATCCTTCCTCCTCCTTCTTCTGCTGCATTCTCTTTTTCTCTTCCTCTTTCCTCTCTTGCTCTCGTTGTTTTCTCTTTTCTTCTTCCTGCCTCTCCAGTTCTCTGTTCTTTCTATTCTGCCGCTCTGCCTCTCTCTTCTTTCTCTCCTCCTCTTGTATCTCCCACTCCCTCCTTTTCCTTTCTTGTTCCTTTTTCTCCCATTCTTGCTTTTTCCTCTCCTTGTCCAGTCTCTCCGCTTCCCTCCTCTTTTTCTCTTGCTCCTGTCTCTCCAATTCTCGCCTCCTTCTCTCCTCCTCCTGTCTCTCTAGTTCTCTCCTCCTTCTCTCCTCCTCCTTTTCCAGCTCTTTCCTCTTCCTCTCCTCATCCTGCTTTTGTCTCATCTCCCATTCTTTCTTTAGTCTCTCCTCATCTCTTATTTTTCTCTCTTGCTCCTCTCTATCCCTTTTCCTCCTTTCCTCAGCTTGCATGTGTCCTTCTAGCTCAGCATCAAGCTTGTCTAGTGCCTCTTCAATGGACTGGGGGACAGAAGTTGCAAGATGGAGCTTGGACTGAGAATGCGCCTGTGTTGACGCAGTGTCTGGCTTATGAGGACTGGACGGCTGAGGGGCAGAGTTGACAGTGGAATGAGAAGGTGGGTGAAGAAGTGGATCTGAAACTCTGTTTGTAATTACTCTGCCACCTGCCCTCTGGAGCCCTGAGAACAAAGAAGATGAGGAAAATGTAGGAGGCTGCTCTAGTTCAGCTTGAGCATAGTATGATGTCTTCCCCTTCATGGGCTGGGATTTGCTGGGCTGTGGTCTGGCTGGCCCCTGTTGGTGAGGCTGGTTTGCAGTGGGACCTTGACCTCTCTCACAACCTGGCTGCAGCCCAGCATCCAGCTGAGGGGTGGGGCTACTGCCACCGGTGGTGGATGTTTGGGGTACTGAATCTCGTTTTCTTTGCCAGTTGTTTCTGCCCTCACTGTTCACAGAGTAGCCAGCAGGAGGCGATGTGGTGGCTGTGGGGACACCAGCCATGATTATGCCATGACTGCTGTTGCTGTAGCTGGTGACAGAGAAGGAGCCATGGGATATGGGAACATTTGGGGTAATGACAGGTGTTCGGGTGGAGCTGGATGGGGGCAGTGGAGGGCTGACACGATGGTGCTGCTGGGAGGGAACCCGACTATCCACCATCTGATTGTGGCTCTGCTGGTGCTGAGGTAGCAGTCCTGGAGGCCTGTAGGTGCCTGACTCCTAGAGAAAAACATACACAAAAATGTTTGATCAATTAATGATCCCTGTCTCAACAACATATTTTGGTAAACAGTTAAATGTAAGCATGTTCAGTTAGTATGAATGAAGAATGAAAATGTCTGCTGACTGTCATAACTGCTGAAGAATAAACTACAGATATGGTACAAATAAGCTTCTGCATCAGTGACTTATACTAACCAGGGAGTGACTGCTGGGCTTGCTCTGGTATCTCCAGGCCTCACGGGGCCCATTTTGCTGTTGCTGAGGTACTGAGGTGATGCTGCTGCTGGCAAGAGGAGGAGGAGGATGGGGGGGACCCTGGTGCCCCAGCCCTGGATGAGGCTGGAAGTGGCTGTAAGGCACACTGCTGCTGCTGTTGCTGGTTGCAGGAGGGTTTGCTGGTGATGACTGAGCATGTAGGGGTCGATCTCTGTCCCCCCTTGTTGGAGTAGATGCCGTGTGAGAGGTAGCTTGGCTGCCACCTTGGCCCCCAATGAGAGGGCCTCTCTGGTTGTGAGGACCATGAGGCTCCATGGCCTGGCAGGGTGGGGCTAGCCTCACTTTAGAGCTGGGGTATGAGGAGTGAGGGGATTGATGGTTTACAGCTTGAGGTTGGAATGTGTCTTTCTGTAGCTGAGGAGCACAGCCCTGTTTGTAGCTTCCCGGTGATGAGGTTGATGTAGGGGAGAGGGTTGAAGGGGAGGAAGCGGCAGGAGAGAACCTTCGGGTGTAGCTGCCCATTTCTCGTTTGTTGGTTTCCTAAACAATTAAACCATAGAAAAAAAAGCAATCGGGTAACAGAGGGGTCTTGGTGTGATTTATAGCAAAACAAAAAATTCACTCTGAGGTCCGGATATCTAATATGTTCCTACTGTTCAGACCTGGAACTCCTGTGATGGTGGGTTCTTGTGGGGCTGCCAGGGAGTGCTGTTTTCCTTGTGAAGGGGGTTCCAGAAAGCAGGTTTTACAGGGAGGTGGTGGACTGATGACTGTTGTTGAGACAATAGTGATTGGCCAGGGCAACGTTGTAGCACAGAATGGGATACCTGTACCGGGAGTGGGGCATGACAATATTTAATAATCAAAGATCTGATCAGCAAGAATGACAAACTAGAGAGAATCAAGTTCTGAGGTTAAAAATTGCCATTGATTTTGGATGTTATGGTATCAACGGAAGAAATGCATTTGTTCCTGTCTGATACCTGATCTGAACTCCTCTTCCTCTTGCTGGGACTGGGACAGTCCTCGGCAGTGGGAAGGCGCGAGGATGGGTGCTGGGATGGCAGAGGAGTGTGCTGGATAACAGAGTGTTCTCCCAGTGGAGGGCCTGGCCTCTTCAGTTGACTCCCTAGCATCTTCCCTGGGTATCCCCTCTGCTGTGAACAGAAAAACGACAAGATCAGTGCTGTGCTAGATGAAGACAACTACAGTAACTACCACAGTGTTTGTTCAGAAGCATTCCCTTGCTAAGATATTCAGACAAAACTCAGTCCAGTCAATGCTATTGTCACTGTCTGGCTGCAGTAAAAATGACAGCAAGAATAGGGATTGTTCTGCATCTATATGGATGATGAAACTTTATCATAGCCAATTAGGGAGCTCCTACCTGGTGCACCTGAGCCCACATCTCATCTCCCAGTAATGGTGGACCCCGGGGAACATGCTGCTCCTGAGGACCCCCAAACTAAAGCAGACAGCATAGGCAACACAGAAGCTTGAACAGAGTCTTTTTTACATATGAAAAACTGTTCTAACTCTGATACATAGGTTTTCTTTGGAGTCATTTGTAACATCCTCACCTTGAGCAGATGGTTGGGCCTGCTGGGGGGGAGATGTGGGTTGGGGGGAGGTCTGCCATTGCCTGCATAGCCTCCACTATGGAGACGGAGTGAGTGCTCACTGGCTAGGGGCACAACGGCATGTCCTTGAGGGGGGAGGTGGGATTCATACAGCTGGCCTAGTTGCTCCCATGTTCTGTGGGGAGGTGGAGGATGAGGATGAGGGTGAGGGTGAGGGTGAAGAAGATGATGAGGTCTCTGCTGCTCCCTTTGCAGGCCTGGTAACATTGGCTGTGGGAGGTCAAGCTTCTCACCTCCTCGCATGGCCCTGGACAGCCCAGTAAAACAGGGTTAAAGCCCATGACAACAAAATGAAACAAATCTAAATGACACAAAATGCTTGCTTAATAATGTCATCTTTTATAAAATGAGGAACATTCTGCCTTCCAAATTTAGGTCTGCCATTAATAATTTTGTGCATGACTTACCCATTACTAAAGAATTTACTGGGATGGCTCAGTCCGCCCATAGGACCAGGAGGTAGATGGGGAAGAAGCTGGTGTTGGCTGATTCCAGGCGAACACCTGATGAGGGACAGAGACAGCACACAGTTTGTACATCACAATTGTTAAGTCCATTTGAGATACAAGTTCAATTCAGCTGAAAAGCACAACTTTGAAGTTCAAATTACAGATTCAACTGTATTCGACTGTGATTTAAAGTAAAGAGGTTTGTGTGCATGTGTTGTCATGGCTACAGACCTGGCAGGTGGCTGCCAGGCGCGGCCGCCCACGGGAGCCCATGGTCCCCGGTTGAGTCCATCCAGAGGGAAGGAATCCCGTGTGCCACGCCCGCCAAACTGCTCTACTGCGTGATGCATCCAGCCTGTGGGTGTTAGTAATACAGTCATATCATTAATGCACAGACACATAAACAGACATACAGATAAACACATTTAGATTGTAGAGTGTTAAATTCTACTTATTATGATTATGAAATATTTTTACAAACAAAAAAAAAATCACGTGTTTTAATATTTATAGCACACAGATTTGAAGCAGACCTCTCATTATGCAGGAAAACTCCATGACGGTTAGACACACTTTAAAAATTGACTTGACTAGAATTACCAGTCAGCCCATTAAAATTATAGGGATCTAACCAGATTCAGTAATGTAATTACTGCTAGACTGCTATGCTGGAGTGCATTCAGAGTGCTTGTACTTACTAGACGAGCTGTGTCTGTGAAGCCCTCCACTGCAGCACAGAGAGGGCCGCACTCCAACACTGTGAATATCTGTACTGTCCGACTCTTCTGTTTTCAGCACCAAGAACCCAAAAGCCAAACAGCTGGGGAGGGAGAGAGAGAGAGAGAGGGGAACAGCAGGACCACTGTGAGAACAAGTGAGACAAAGACACAATGAAAAGTCAATAACTCGTTATTATATAGGCTAGTTGGGGCATGTATGTGTGCGAGTTGGAGAGGGGAGAGCGTATGTACAATTTGGGCAGGGCTGTGTCTGTAAACTGACTACAACTCTGTTGCTTAATGCCCACCTGATTCTCACATTTCAAGCTATCTTTGGTTCTGTTATAGTTGGGATGCTTCCAGAAGAAATGTAGAATCTTGTAATCTTATTACGTCCTAAATTCTGATGACTTTGTCTGTGGCTGGCTGCAATGCACCAGTCAGCCTGTAAAAGGCGCCATTAAGACAGCCAGTGCAGAGCAGGATTATTACCAAGACCTAGATGGCTCAGTGGGGAGCTCACCTATGAGGACAGGCCTGGGGTTACTGTAATCCCTACCATGGGCCTCCTGATAACAAGAGACAGAGGGAAAGACTAAGAGTGAGAGGCCTTGGTCACATGCCAAGTGTGTGTGTGTGTGTGTGTGGTGCTTGAAGCAATGCCAAGTGTGCAAGGAGCATGGTTGTGTCAGTCTCGTGTAGATTTAGTGCATGGTACAGAGAATAGTGCGCTCTCTTTTATGTGGATGATTATGTGTGTGCTACAGTGCACTGAAGGGTGTGTGTATAAAGTGTGTGTCCATGTACGTGCCCAGTGGATACACTGTTTAATCTCATTACAGCGGGCGTGATGGAGAGGGGGGCAGCAGTGACAGACGGTCTGAACAGGATGGAAGGATAGATTAAGGAGAAAAGATGGAGAACAGAGAAGGGATGGAGGGAGGTGGAGCGGAGCAGCAAATAGGAACGATGCCATGAAAACGCCCACGCACCTTCTCACACACATACACACTGAGACGACACAAAGACAAAAGGTTGAGGGGGAAACATAAAAGAAGCTGGGAGAGAACTCCCTCCCTCGCTGCTTTCTGAAACCCTGGACACACAAACAACACAAAAGACAGAAGGTGTCGGGATACAAACTCATCCATGTTTTAAAGTACCTCAATTCAAAAAAGACAACAGAAGAGATACCTGAACCAGCCTGAGAGGGGTGTGTTTACACCTATTAACTCACCATTGCTGTTAAAACACCTGCTTCTGCTGTACTGAAGCTTTAACAGATAAAAATCTTCATTGTGTCCTTTTCATCAAATATCAGCCTGAAGCTGAATTATCCTGGCGATTACTTTTCATCTTTATTCCTCATTATCCTCACATACTCTTTTGAATGATGACAAGACATTAGATACCTGTCCATCTTTGTTCAGTGAACTGCAGCTCCAGATGTACAAGAAATGTAATGATCGCTTTATGTGGTAAAGTAAATCACACAAAGTAATGTGTAATGTATTTTGGGAAGGGTATTAGACATGCACACGTAGGTTATGATTCACTTCTCTTGCTCAGCACAGCACCCTTCCACCACTGTTCCTAAATTAGTCCTGGTCATATGCAGTCCATCCACCCACCAGTTCCTCCTCTCTTCCTCTCTTCCTCCCACCAACTCTGGATCTCTGCCTCTATTTAAAGCCGAGCAGAGGATATTTCAATCACTCTACACTTGTAGCTTGTCACAAGGGGTGCCTGACAGTGACACACACACACACACGCTGCCCTCTGTATTGCTTCCCTTCTGTCTCACAGGGATCATCATCCACCAGGCACTGCTGCTATGTGGAGATAGGCTGGCGTTAACTGTCAAGACTGCACTCAACGTGCTCTAAGACTGACTAATACAAACACAATGTCATGCTGAGCATACCTGTTAGGGTAGCACCAAGTTATTGATTCACAGTTGTGTTAAGTCTCAACTTCAGCTGCCAATCATTTCTCTGGGGTCTCCTCAACCCTGAAAGACAGAGAAGACAAAAACATTTGTGTCATTAAAAACAGCATGAAGCTATGTTACATGGGTATTTGTGGTTTTGATCAAAACTGTCACCAACTTAAAATCTCAAACATATAATTCAGTGGTGAATGTGGTCTTTCAATATGTCCTGCTGCTTCTCTTCTGACTTTGACAGCGAATCGTCACTACCCGACTTCCGAGATGACGCCTGGTTTCAGAGCAGTGTGGAAAACTGACGCTGGCTCAGATGTGAATGGATAAGTCAGCGGGGACGCCAACACAATGGAAGCGAGGGGGCTCTTGTTCTTCTCACACAGACACAGTGGTGAGAATGTGCAGCTTAACGAGCGAGCAGACACACAAAACAAGGCTGATCTCACTAACAGGAAGAGCTATGCAGGCCAAGTCAAAATCACATGTGAACGTGTAACACTGGAGAAACAGAAAACTAATAAAAGAGTAGGGAAACAATGAGACAGAATGAGAGGCTGAAATTAGAAAAGTTAGGAAAAAGCAATATAAAAAGAAATCTAGCAGGAGACCCAGCTGTGACATGTGAGGGCAAACAGGGACACCGTGGTGAGATTGTAATTAACACTCTTCCAGAGGGTGTGGTTTTATGTCTGTAGTAACCAAACAGCATCTATTCCAATTGCTGTTCTGTCTCTTACATTGCTCCCAGCCACTCCACCAACACAGCGTGAGAAACTCAGTCCTCTGAAGCCAGATAGTGTACACAGACGGCAGACGGCGTTACACACTGGCTCAGGTTCTATCAGATGATACCCAAGTGATGAAATGTAGTTATAGCAGTGAGAGTTCGACTTCAGTATATGGGAGGTGAAAACAGTGAGTGTGTATCTGTGTATGAGCATTAGCCCTCTCATTTTTTGGGAACTCCCCCGATGACTCAGTGCACTAGAAGAGGGCTTACCCTGAATCGCTCACCCTAAACTCCGCCCTCCTGGGACACCACTTACAGTCAGGTGACCGGGGGTGTTTCTACTTCGCTGCAGATGTGACAACAGCGGGAATTTCTTGGACTTTGTGATGTCATTTCTGCTTCCTATGCAGTCGGATCGCACATGTGTGTGTGTGTGTGTGTTTAGACAAACAAACAGGATGTGATGCAGGGGAGTTTCACAACCGAGGGAGAATCAAATGGCCAAACCGCAAGTTCACGAGAAATGATGCGGCAAAGATGTCAAACAACCTGCTGATCACTTTAGTGCAAACTTCAGGTAGCTGGGTAGAGAGCAATCCAAAAAGTTAAACTCTGAGTCAGACTTAAATACTAAGCTTCAGTGGCTATGTGCGATTACTCTGCCTTCACTTTTACCTCAGTGTAACCACAACAAGCTGCACGCTGCGGTTAAAAGTTCGTTTATATTGCTGAGTACAATAAATGAAACAAGGTTAAGTGAAAGTGATTTAAGTATCTCTTCTACTTTCATACTACTTTATATATACAGATGATATATTTAATAGTTCTTACCAAGCAGATGACGCAATTCATTCTCTGTTACATCAAAAATTCCCCCACAGTACATTGCCCCCTCCCCATCAATACCAGACATCACAGAGCTGTTCCTGTCAACACCCTCGCTGTCATAGTTACTTAACACCAGCTATCAGTTGGGGGGCGGGGCCAAGCAAGAGCATTGGCAGGCAGACAATGCCCTGCAAACCGTTGTCAACCACCAAGCAAGAAGCTAGAAAGAAAATAGAGGCGCTTTGTTGAGTCCTCTGTGGTGTCAAACAAAGAAACATGCACACAGAATAAATAAACCCACAGCAACATCACATGACACGCAAACCAAAGTCACAAGTTAGTGGCTGTGCAGAGGGAAGCTTGCTTATTACTAGCATGAGCTGGGGGGAACAAATGGTTGAAGAAAAGATGTTGAGATGACATCTCTCTTGGTGCAGTAGCTTTAATTTATTCCCCCTCACCCTTCCCTAACAACTGGCCTGTGCTGGTCCCCAGCCAAACTACCACACTGAGAGGAAACAGACTGGAGAGAGAGGGGATGGGAGTCAGTGAGGGCAAACACTGCAAAAATATATATGTGAAAGTGTAAAAATCTAACTTCTTTCCTGAGCTGGAGTCTTGACTGTCTGCAGCAGTAATGTTGATGTTGCCATGGGAAAGAGCAATAAACAGATGGATAAGAAGGCAGCTTAGTGCTGAGTGAGCACATGAACAATGAAAGAGGAGTTTCACTGATGAAAATGAAGAGCGTGAGGGGGTAATGGCAAGCAGCTGGAGTGTGTTACTGCCCTAGTAAAGCCACTGTAAAGCCTGTCTGATAAGAAAGGAGTAGATAAGGCTGAGAGAAGTGGGAGATAACAGAAAATAACGTGAGGGAAATGCTCTGGCAGCAGCAAGTTTCTCAGTCTCGCTCTGTCCTCCCTCACCCTCTCTACTCCATTTGGCCATTACATAATCAGTCCCAGATAAAGATCATGTTCATGAGGAAACACCATGCATTTCTCTCTCTCTCTCTCTCACACACACACACACACACACACACAAACACACACACACACACACACACACACACACAGAACAGCCAGCCCCTGCATCTGTCTACCCCTGCTTTCCTGCATGTGTGTTTGTTGTGCATGTACAAACTCCTGTGCAGGCTGTTCAAAGATAATGATGTGGCCTTCATCACATCCACATCCTATAACACATACAAAACAAATCAGAAAAGCCTGTCAACACACAGAAGAGAGTGCAGGTCAGCCTAGGACACCGCAAGCCAACATTGCTCCTGCACACAAACACAGAAGCATCTGACCTCCCTAATGGAACATTATCTCCTGTTGGCATCCATCTCCACACCACCACCCTCCATCCAGAGGACAGACTGCTGGCCTAACCCTTCACCCGGTTACACTCAGGCCTTCTACCCAGCAGACTGGCCAGCTAAAAGCTCTTATTTGTCTTACTTTGTCTCCTCCTGGCTTATTTGTACGCTCCCTCACATCTGCTCCACATTCAGACCATGACACAGAGAGGCCGTAAAGCACAGGAGTGAGGAATATCCAGAATCCTCACATGTAACCCCTGCTGGGTTGACATGGCCTCTCATGTCAACATTCGGTAGATTCTGAAAGACAGCAAGAAGTTTCAAATTAGCAGCGACTGCCAGCTAGATGCAGTTTTGTTTTGGCTGTTGGAGGCAGCCTGTCAGTGACTCGGCTTGTCACATCGTGTGGGTTTTTTGTTTTTTTTTTTACTCTCAAAATTTTCTTTAGCTGCAAAGCTTTTAACAAGAAGTGGAGAAAACTGATTTCTGGACCCTCAGTGACACAGTGATGAGAAACGGTTGGCCTACATTTTCATCTGTTTGTGGAAAAAGAAACTAAACAATGTAGGGTAGAGTGGGGGTGTGTGAGAGGCCCCTTCACCACTCACCACCCTGACATCTGGGCTGTTACTGACAACACACAACTGTGTTAGTGGAGTGCATCTCTTACATCTCTACACACAGAGACAGATCAGACACAAATGTGTGTGTGTATGACATTAAAGAGAAGAGGAACATGGAG